AAAATAATCCCTCCAACATCAAGCTCAAAAAGCCATATGTTGGATGCTCCTTCCTTAGACCCAAACTCTAGGAGGATCCTTAGTGTGACATACCACACAAGCCTCACACACTTAGGTGCACAGCCCCTTAGGTATGCTAGGATTAGGATTTTTCTTTGTGTGCGCATGTGATTGATGTTGTGGATTGATTGCCCTTGGATTGTCTGCGTGTGGGCACTTGCCCTTAAGTGGTTAATATAGAAATATAAATGCTTTTCTATGCAGGTGGTCATGTCCAAGAAGTGGATAAATGTCATGATTTTATTAATGTTGTTTGCTTGCAGGCGCTGCTTAAAACCCCCCAGGAGACATGGCCAATAGGGTAGAAGCATGGGCCTAGCACTTAGCACTCTAAGTGTTAGGCCAATTTTGAGATGATTATATGCTTAATTATATAAACTGCCTCATAACTCTGTTTTGCATATTTGAGTCTTTTTCTATTTCATATCATATATTTGATTAGATCTAGGATGTAAAACTTGTGGGGTTTGATTGAAAAGAAGGGAGGATCGAAGGAGAATGCACCACTTTGAAGGTTAAAGCTTGAAGACCCCCACAAGTAGAGTCTGTAAATATAACTGGGTTGTATAATGGCAGGCAACTCAGCTGCCAAACATGTTTGTAATAACTGGGACATTATTTACATTTCTGTCTTTATTTATATACAAAAGCATGTGTTGAAGTGTTTATTGGGTGCGCAATAGAAATGCATGTCTTTCCTAGGTTTCTTCTCTTATTTTTTTGGGTGTGGCCTGGACTTGATCACGTTAGGCTTTTAGGATAAATTAAGTTTTCTACCCTCTTAACATGTAAGCAATCTAAAAATAAAATCAAATTAGGCTCCATGTCTTTCAAGTAAAAAAAATTGCATGTCTCCCTTCAAGGAGCCATGTTTTCAAAATGAAAGTAAACATGCATAGCCAAAAATGTGTCACATGTAGAATGCTTTCACATAAGGATTAGATAACAAAAAAAAGTCTTTCTTTTTGTGAGTCAGCATTTGCATACCATACATGCTTAGGCATCTTGGCCTCAAAGCCAAGTTGTAAGATCTATCTTCTAAATATAAACAACCCTACCACTCTACATTTGCATTGAGACCGAATAACATGGTTTTAAAAGCGATTAGGGGGAGTTTAGCTGGTAGTCCCTTCCAGGCGGGACAATAAATCTAGAGGTCGGGCGGGTTATGCCTCTTGTGAGGTGTAGCTTGTAAGTCCCTCTTTGCACTCGTTAGATCTAGGTTCGAGGTACTACCTATCGGTAGTCCTCACCTTAGTCTTAAGGTCCGAGGCAAGTGTTGATTTCAAATCACCCTATAAGCCCTCATCTTTCGAGCAATTCCTCCAACAAGTATTGCTGAGATGTAAGCCCCAATCTTTTAATAAAATATCAACTCAAACTAAATTTAGATTCAAAAATGTAAAGCCCAACATAGGATAGTCCGAGCACCTCTGAGTTTCCCTCAGAATCAAGTGCTCCTACTTCATCTCCTTTGGTTTTCATTCCCAAAATCTAATCCTTAGTTGATCAATTACTCCTTGAAATTCCTAAAGGTCAAACCCTTTAATCAAGACTTTCATGGATTTCAAAATAAAAACAAATTTTACCCAACATTCAAATGACTTCCAAAACTAAAAAAACCACTTGTTTAATCAAAAGTTTTCCCAACTCAAAATTGGGATGTAATTAACCATAGGGGCTTGCCCCTACGGGACATTTGTACCCCAGAAGTAAACAAACCCCACTCAACCAAACATTGAGTGGGGGAATCTCTGTTAAATAATTATAAATTTTATTATTGAGCCTATAAGAAAATGATATTTTTACCCTCCGGGGTAATATATCACATTCTTATGCCGTGCCCGATTATAAAATATGCAATCCGTTTGAGGATACAAAAATTCTCCAACAGTGGTCAGCCAGGACATCGGATTGCAGAGTGTCCATAGGCTGGATTTGATACACGATCTGAGTTCCTATCTGATAGTAGACCTGTTGCTTCAGTAGGAAGGCCGAGGAATGTTCCTCCACGTACTGTGACTGAAGGATCCTCTGGTAGAGGTGGTGGGTCGAGTTCTGTGGCACGGAGACCACCTACTGGTAGTCTGCGGGAGTTTAGTAGTTCAGTAGCTCTAGCTCCAGTTCAGCCATGTGTGTACAGTTTGAGTCAGCAGGAGGCTCGAGATGCTCCAGATGTGGTGACAGGTACGATTTATATTTCTGAACACCCCTGTCGTGTTTTGTTTGATTCTAGAGCTAGTCACTCGTTTCTTTCTAAGCGCTGTTTTGATGCTTTGCATCTGGATTCTGTTTTGTTATCGGTTTTCTCTTTGTGTTATTTTGCCGGCTGGAAGTAATTTGATCGCCAGGAAGTTTTGTTTCTGTGAGCTTGATATTTCTGGCAAGAAATGGAAGTCGAGTTTGATTTTATTGCCGATTTCTTCTTACGACGTGATTTTGGGTATGGATTGGCTGAGTCTGTATGAGGCTCAGATTGACTGTTTGAAGAAGCAAGTGAGTTTGCTTATGGATGGTGAGAGATGTGTATTTCAAGGGTAAGAGGAGTTTTATCATGTCTGATTTTTGTGTTGGAAGTCAGAAAATTGTGGAAGAAAGGTTGCCCGGTATTTTTGGCTTCTGTACAGGATATGAACATAGATGTGCATTATATTTCTGATATCCCGGTTATACGAGAGTTTTCAGATGTATTTTCTGAGGAGTTAGTTGGATTACCTCCGGACAGAGATGTTGAGTTCTCTATTGATATTTTTTTGGGTACAGCTCCAATATCAAAAGCTCCGTACAGGATGGCACCGAAAGAACTTTCTGAGTTGAAAGTTCAGCTCCAAAAGTTGGTGGATAGAGGATTTGTTCGTTCTAGTGTTTCTCATTGGGGAGCACCTATACTGTTTGTGAAGAAGAAGGACGGAACACTCCGTATATGTGTTGATTACAGAGATTTGAATAAAGTCACGATCAAGAACAAGTATCCATTACCACGAATTGATGACTTGTTTGATCAGTTTTCTGGTTCTTCTGTATTTTCAAAGATTGATTTGAGATCTGGATACTATCAGGTGAAGGTGAAGGAAGCTGATGTGTTGAAGACAGCTTTCAGTACTCGGTACGGGCACTAAGAGTTTTTGGTTATGCCTTTTGGGATAACCAATGCACCTGCTGTTTTCATGGATTTGATGAATAGAGTGTTCAAGGAGTATCTGGATCAGTTTGTGATCGTCTTTATCGACGATATTCTGGTGTATTCTGCTTCTGAGGAAGATCATGCCAGACACTTAAGCATTGTATTGGAGACTTTGAGGCAGCATCAGTTGTATGCTAAGTTTTTCAAGTGTGAATTCTGGCTGAAGAGTATTTCTTTTCTGGGGCACGTGGTGAGCGGTGAAGGTATTTCTGTTGATTCCCAAAAGATTCAAGCTGTTGCTGATTGGCCAAGGTCTACTACGGTATTTGAGGTACGTAATTTCTTAGGTATGGCTGGATATTATAGAAAGTTTGTGAAGGGATTTTCTCAGATTTCTACGCCTTTGACGAGACTAACTCAGAAGTTAGTAGCTTTTGTTTGGACACCGGAATGTGAAGCCAATTTTCAGAGATTGAAGGATTGTTTGACATCTACTCCTGTGTTAGCACTTCCGTCAGGTACGGAAGAATTTCAGGTGTTCAGTGATGCTTCACTGAAAGGTTTGGGCTGTGTTAAGATGCAGCATGGTCGGGTAAAAGCCTATGCTTCGAGACAGTTGAAACCACATGAAAAGAATTACCTGACCCATGATTTGGAATTGGCTGCAGTTATTTTTGCTTTGAAGATTTGGCGTCATTACTTGTATGGCATCAGATGTGAGATCTTTACGGATCATAAGAGCTTGAAGTACATATTCACTCAGAATGATCTGAATTTGAGGCAAAGAAGATGGCTTGAGTTGATCAAGGACTACGACCTGACGATTCAGTATCAGCCTGGTAAGGCTAATGTGGTAGCAGACGCTTTGAGCATGAAGTCTTCTGGATTATCAGGTATTTAGCTCACTTCTGATGACTATCTGATTCGAGATATGGAAAGATTACACTTGGAGGTGATTTTCTCTACTAGTCCGGATTCTGTTGTTTTGACTTAGATGAGCATTCAGTCTTTTCTGGAAGAAAGAATTCAGGAAGCTCAGAAGTCAGACTACGACTATTTGAAGTTAATTACTCAGATTAAATCTGGTAAGAAACCTGAACTACGAGTTTCTGATTTTGGTGTTATCTTCTGCAAGGATAGACTGTGGATTCCTGTGTTTGGAGATTTGAGGAAAGAGATTCTGTACGAATCTCACCATTCAGGCTATACGATACATCCGGGAAGTGGTAAGATGTACGGAGACATGAAGAGTTTGTTCTGGTGGCCTAGAATGAAAAAGGATATAGCAGATTTTGTTACGAAATATGAAGCCTGTCAGTTAGTGAAGGAAGAGCATCAGCGACCAGGAGGTCTTTTGCAGTCATTGCCTATCCCTGAGTAGAAGTGGGAGGAGGTAACGATGGACTTTGCTATGGGTTTCCCTCGATCTAGGAAAGGGCATAATGTTATCTGGGTGATTGTGGATTGATTGACGAAGTCTGCCATTTTCTTCCAATCAGGCAGACGGATCCGGTGGATAAGTTGGCATAGGTATATGTGAATGAAATTGTTAGATTACATGGTGTGCCTAAAGTGATTGTATCTGATCGAGATGGACGGTTTACTTCCAGACTTTGGAAGGGCATTCAACAAGGATTGAGTACGAAGTTGCATTTCAGCACTGCTTTTTATCCACAGACTAACGGACAGTCTGAGAGGACTATTCAGATACTGGAAGATCTTCTGAGGTTGTATTTTGGATTTTGGAGGAAGCTGGGAAGATCATATCCCTTTGATCGAATTTGCTTATAATAATAGTTTCCAGTCCAGTATTGGTATGGCACCTTACGAAGCTTTGTATGGCCGAAAGTGTAGAACTCCTTTGACTCTGAAAGAGGTGGGCGATAGACAAGAAATGGGTTCAACTTTTGTGAATGAAACTGTTAAGAAAATCAATCTGATTAAAGAAAGATTGAAAGCTGCACAAGATAGACAACAGAAGTATTACAATCAGAAGTACAGATTTGTGGAATTTCAGGTTGGCGAATTTGTATATGTCAAAGTCAGTCCGATGAAAGGTGTGAGCAAATTTGGTAGAGTGAGCAAGCTCAGTCCAAGGTATGTCGGACCTTTTGAAATTATTGAAAGGATTGGAAAGTCTGCTTATAGATTGTTATTATCAGATCAGCTGTCTGATGCGCATAATATTTTTCACGTATCCTCTTTGAGAAAGTGGATATTTGATTCTGACAAGAAGTTGTCTGCTGATGAGGTTGAGATTCAGGAGAATCTACAGTACAAAGAAGAACCTGAGAAAATTTTGGCTTATGATGTGCGCAAGTTAAAAAGTAAACAAATTTCAATGGTTAAAGTGCAGTGGAAACACAGAACAGCACATGAAGCGACTTGGGAGGAGTCGGACATGAGGCAGTCATATCCGTATCTGTTTTGACTCAGTTTACTTTTGGAATGTCGAGTACGACATTTTTCTTAAGGTGGGTAGATTGTGAAACCTTTATGGTTGGAATTTTTTTTTGTGCTGTTAGTACAGGACGAACCGTCTGTACGAACTGAAGAAATCTGTGAAAAATCTGTATGGTTAGTACGTACGAACTGCCAGTACGAACAGAGAAAATATGCATGTTCGTCTGTACAAACCTGGAAGGGTCGGGACGAACTGAACCCGAGAGTTTCGTCCAGGGACGAAATAAATTGGAATTAATTTTGTCTGGACGATTTGAGTCCAGAGAAGATCGTCCCGGGACGATCGGGACATCGTCCTGGACAATCCTGCTTAATAAATATCCGAATAGTGCCGATTTAGAAGAGAGAGAAAATCCAGGAGAGAGAAAATCCAGGAGAGAGGAAGAAAAGTGGATTTTTGGGCGACTTCGGTCCGTTTTCGTCCGTCGTCGTAGTTGGAAAAGTTTATCAACTCGAGATAAGGCACATTCCGCCTTTCTCAATTTTCAGAAACGTGGATTTTGACGACTTTTCTTTTCCGAATTTTGTTTCCGTTAGCGAATTTCTGGTATTATTTTCTTCTGACAAAGGTTTTTTCGCGTAACTTTTGGTATATTTTTTAGATGATAATTGTGCACATTTTAAGTATTTTTTGGAAGATTTTTACCGGATATTTTGAATTCTACTGTGTTTTAATTGAATTGCGAATTATCAGGATGTTAAAAAATGTTATGTCAGTACAATGAAAGTCTTATAATGTTGTTGTGGATATGTTGTGATAATTTGGTAAATTTCTGAATCTGTGAATTTTGTATAAATTCCGTATACTGTCGTTATGTTGCTGATTTTTCGTACGAATTCTGATTTTTCCTGAATTGATATATTGAATGAATTGATTATTTGTATGCTATCAGAAGTGAGTTATAAGGGGCCAGAATCCTTTGAGATTCTGTCCTGTCCGGGAAAACCTGAAATCTGAAAATAAGTTCTGTTCCGTAAATTCTGTGTATCTGATCTGTTCTGGTGCTATAAGCACAACGAGAGACATAAGGGGCCAGAATTCGTCGAGATTCTGTCTGTGTCAGGGAAGGGAGGCATAAGGGGCCAGAATCCGTTGAGATTCTATCATGGTCAGGGAATCTGATGTTTGATATCTGATAATCTGTTCTGTGATTTATCTGTTCTGTTTTATGAAATTATCCGATATATGATTTCTGATTCCTGTACGATTCTTTCTGCTCTGTGATTTGATAGCTTTATAATATCTGTTATGAACTCTGATTTGAAATGAGTTCAATTTTCTGTATCCGTAAGCTAATTTTTGATTGATCAAGTATCTGTTCTGTCTGTTCTACGATTTCCGTACGGCTATTTTCTGATGTATTTTCTGATGTGAATTTCTGATGATTTTGATCGGTGAGTGATGTCTTGCTGAGCTGTTAGCTCATCATTATTTTCTGCGTGGTTTTCAGGTTATGGGAAAGGAAAGGAGGTCTTGGACTAGAAGTTCTGTGTCTGATCTGAGATTAGGTATTTTGTATTTTTGATTTTGTACAGTCATGGCTTTTCTGTTTCTGTTATGTTCTTTCTGTCTGTAGCCATGCACTGTATCTGTATATGATTGTTTTGATGAAAGAAAAGATAGATGAACTGTTATGTATTTGGATGTTTATAGTAGCTATGTGTTTTTCTATCTATTTAATATTTGGAAGAAAGTCTGAAGCAAATTTCAAAACTAGATCATGGATTTCAAGTTTAGGTTTCGTCGCGACCCGATGCGAGCGGGATCCGTCCCGGTCGGGTTGGGTCGTGACAATGGCACCCTCGATCCCCAGCTCTTCCTGGACTGGGTCAAAGGTATGGATAATTTCTTTGAGTGCTATGACATATCTGAGGCCAGGAAGGTTAGTTTTGCGGCTATGAAACTAACGGGTAGGGCGAGTCAGTTTTGGGCGAACTTAGAGAGTCTCAGGGAAGATAGGAAATTATAGAGAGCTCTACCACAAACTTCTAGCTTCGGTGAGGTCGAGAAAAAAAGGGAAGATAGGAATGAGTACCCTATTGTAGATTGGCTGTCCATGAAGCGGGAACTCAAATAAAAGTACTTACCTTCGTCGTACTTCCCCCGCCTATTGGACAGGTGGAATAGGTTGACCCAAGGAAACAAACCAGTGAAGGAGTACATCGCCTCGTTTGATGACTTCTTGATTCGTTGCAAATGGGAGACCTCTACCACCCCCGCGCAGATCTTATCTTTATTTCGTACCGGGTTGCGTGAGGATCTATGCAATGAGTTATTTGTTCGGAACGTCACTACACTGGAGAATGCCTACAGCCTAGTTCTTGATCTAGAGGAGTCCCGTTCTCAGCACCCGAGTCGATCCCATGATTCTAGACCTTCCTATAGATCAGCCGGTAGTTCTACCCCACACACTCCTGCTTCTCGACCCACTCCTGGGAGCTCGACCCGACCACCTACGGGTCCACCTGCACCTAGATCTGATTTTAGAAGTAAACCTCCCTCCCCGGATACCCCTCGGCCAGTCCCGGGACCAAGTTTTTTCGATGCTAGGGGTATGGGCATATCACTTCTCAATGCTCCAGTCCGTATAAGATTTCGATCGTTGAGGAGATTACTGAGGATGATCTCGAGCCCCAGGTTAATCAGATCCACCAAGTCGAGGAAGAAGGCGAGTACTTCGAGGAGGACGACGACACTGCGGTCCTCAATTGCCTTCAGAAGTTGGATACCTCTCCCATCTGCGTGGTGAGATGTGCACTATCCCACCCGACACCCATTGATGACTAGCGTAGGTCCTCGATTTCCCATACCTACACCAAAATCAAAGACAAGAACTGCAAAGTCATAGTGGATAGTGGTAGTTGCATAAATGTTGTTTCCTCCAGCATGGTATCCCAGTTAGGTCTGTCGGCCGTTCCTCACCCCATCCGTATAAGGTATCGTGGGTCAACTCTAATGCCTTGGAGGTGAAGGAATGAAGCTACATGCCCATCTCCTTTGCTACTTATAAGGAGAATGTCTGGTGCGATGTGTTGATTATGAATGTTGAATAAATTTTGCTAGGTCGCCCCTGGAACTACGATAATGATGTCCACATTTATGAGCGTTCAAACACCTGCGTGTTTGAACATGTTTGCAAAAAGATTAAGCTTTTGCCATCACAGCCCCGGGTTACGGATGCCATGAAATCCAACCCAGCCAAATCTAAAAAGGGCGTGAACCTTGTCACCGCCAAGGTTCTGATTACTGAGATTGCCCAAGGCGCCCCTCTGTTTGCCTTAGTCGGCCGTGAGATTCCCACCAAATCTGACGAGCCCATTCCTCTGGAGGTACAGCCTATTTTAGGACAGTATGCTGATGTCTTTCCCGATAATCTCCCAGATCAGTTACCTCCACTTAGAGACATTCAGCGTGCTATAGACTTCATCCCTGGAGCCTCCCTCCCAAACCTGCCACACTATCACATGAACCCCACGGAGCATGCTGAGCTTAAGAAGCAGATTGATGAGTTACTGCAGCGAGGTTTCATTAAGGAGAGTCTTAGTCCTTGTGCGGTGCCGACCCTTCTCACACTAAAGGACGGGTCTTGGAGAATGTGTGTTGATAGCCGTGCTATCAACAAGATCACCGTCAAATATCGATTCCCTATTCCAAGGCTCGATGACATGCTCGATATGATGACGGGTGTCACACTGCTCTCCAAAATTGATCTCCAAAGTGGGTACCACCAGATCCAGATCCGACCCGGTGATGAGTGGAAAACTGCCTTCAAGACCAAGGATGGTCTTTATGAGTGGTTAGTCATGCCTTTTGGGCTCAGTAATGCCCCTACCACCTTTATGCGAATCATGACTCAAGTGCTGCGTCCGTTTATGGGAAAGTTTGTCGTCGTCTACTTTGACGACATTCTTATTTACAGTCAGCACTTAGACCACTTAAGGCAAGTTTGTGAGGTCTTAAGGAAGGAGCAATTATATGCCAATCCAAAGAAATGCACCTTCCTAGTAGATCGCGTCATTTTCCCGGGCTTCATCGTTTCATCCCAAGGGGTTTCCGCAGACCCCAAGAAGGTGAGGGCCATTATAGAGTGGCCTATCCCTCAGACTATCTAAGAGGTCCGCAGCTTTCACGGATTAGCCACCTTCTATAGGAGATTCATACGAAATTTCAGCATAATCGTATCTCCTATCACTAATTGCATGAAGAAGGGTGATTTCCACTGGACCCCGGCCGCCACTAGAGCTTTTGATGAGATTAAGCAAAAAATGGTGGAAGCCCCAGTGATGCAACTTCCTGATTTCTCCAAAGTCTTCGAAGTAACTTGCGATGCTTCGGGGGTCGGAATTGGAGGAGTCCTCTCCCAGGAAGGTCACCCTGTAGCCTACTTCAGTGAGAAATTGAACGATATTCGGCAATTCTACGTATGACAAAGAGTTTTACGCCGTGATCCAATCTCTTCGCTATTGGCGACACTACTTGCTCCCGTAATAGTTCGTCATTTTCTCGGATCACGAGGCTCTGCGTTATATCAACTCCCAGAAGAAGTTGAATGCACATCATGGTCGATGGGTTGAGTTCCTTCAGGAATACACGTACACCCTTGACACAAGGCGGGAGTTGAAAATAAAGCTGCCGATGCTCTCAGTCGTCGTATGATGACCACCACTGAAATGAGAGCAGAAGTCGTGGGATTTGACCAAATAAAGAGGGATTATTTGGAATGCCCCGACTTCAAGGAGACCTACACTCTCTTGTCCATAGACAGTACGTGTTTTGTGGACGATTTCCTACTGGAGGATGGTTATCTTTTTAAAGCCCAAAGGCTTTGCAATCCAAACACCTCCCTTAGGGAATTCCTAGTCTGGGAACTCCACGCCGGGGGCCTCGCTGGGCACTTCGGACGGGAAAAGACTATTGAAGCCGTGGAGTACCATTTCTTTTGGCCCAGCCTTAAGAGAGATGTTGCT